AACCGCCCGGCCTGGCCAGGCGGGACGGCCTCGCCGGTCCCCCGGATGAAGGGGCGAGGCCCGAACAACCTCCGGTCTCTCCTGCCCCAGGTGCGGTTTGGTGGCCCTTTGGATGGCCGGCGCGCCGCTCTCCTTGCCCTCCGGAGTCCCCCTGGAGAGGATCGTGCAGGTGGCCCTGCAGAGAGGCTACACGGCGCAGGGAGAAATGTTCTCAGGTGCGCGGCCGGGCAAGGCGAGCGGCGCGCCCTGCGAACCCGCCAGAGCTCCGGGGGAAGCTGGGCCCGCTAAGTGGGTGACGGCCCACTTCGCTCTCCTGCGGGACGGGGCATCCGTTCGTAACTGCCCGGGCGCCTCCTTTTCTTGTCACCCGCTTCAGCCGCGGACATGGCCAAGCTGGCTGAGGAGGTCTTTCCCTGTACGACGCAGCTGCTCTCGGGAGGCTTGCAAGGACAGAACCGCGAACGGATCCTTCAGCACCTAGGTGCCGGCTTCCCTGTGCTGATACCGTATCCTTCTCCGTGGAAGTTGATGAAATGCCGAGGTGGAGGCGTTTCCTTTCCGTTTTTCTTCAGGGTTCCTCTGAAGAAAGCTTGAGGCTGTTTAGCACGAAAGCTGAGGCTTTCGGCAGGCTACCTGGTCTCTTGCCGGTCGCCTCAGATGAGCGGCTGGGGGAAAGGAACCTTTTCACAGGAGGCAGCCTGTGCAGGAACTTCAGATCTCCCCCGCACGGGAGAATTCTCTTGAGCAACAGTCTCCGGGCCCAGACCTTAATGCCTACCACAGCTACGATGAGGACTACAACCACGAGCCCTGCCTCCGGAATGGCTACAAGGCCCATTGGGCCATTGCTTCAGGTATGCTCTGCTGGGTAGCTGCGTGTTGTCCACAAGGGGGTGCTGTTGCCACACTGGAGCCGTAGGCTGGGGGTTCGTCTCTAAGTACCCCAAAGAGCAGCTTTGCACTTGACATTGGGGAAGAAGCAGAGCAGAATAGCTGTTAGGGACATGGATGGGAATTCTGGAAGTTTTGGTCCCAGCACATCTGGAGGATGACCAAGTTGGGGGAGGGCGTATTCTAAGGCATCTCTGTTGTCCAGGACCAAGGGATCTTGCAGGGCAGCATGGAGGAGAGGTCAGTTGGGAAGGAGAGATTTGGCCAGGAGACAGGATTGGATGTGTGCATCAGGACTGTCCTGTGTGAACAGAAGGGCAGCAAAGAACCCTCCTTCCGGTGTAACAGTTCCACTGGGGGAAAAGAGAAATCTCCCATCTCTTTTCCTCCCCAGGAGCTCTGCTTGGTCTGAAGAGTGATTTCCAGCTACCTGCCTGCCAGGAAGACGAGGACATCCCAGGGCTCTTCCATGCCAGCCCCACTGCTTCAGCTGTCCCCTTGGAGGCTGTTGCTGAGACATACTTGTTGTCAAAGCAGGGCAAGAGTTGCCGCTATCAGCTGTGGAACTATTCTCAGGTGCAGGAGAGCAACGCCCAGCTGACAGGCTTCAGTCCCAGACGGGCAGCTGATGGAAAGGTTTACATTGTGCCAGCAGGAGGGGTGCGAGAGGGACTGTGTGGAAAAGCCGTGCTGCTGCGGCCAAGGCCCTGAGGGTGCTCTAGCAGGAGGCCTCGGTTGGAAGGAGGCTGTTTTCCAAAGCCACTTCTGCACCTGGCTTTGTAGAAGCTCTGCTGGGTTGTTAAAGGGACTTAGACAAATTCATGGAGACAGCTCGCTTTTAGCAGTGCCTTGAGAGGGGCTACAAACGCTAAGGGATGTTGGGAGGCAAGAAAGAGAGACTGTTCCCTCCCTGTCTTATGAGTCCTTGGATAACTCTGATTAACCAGGATGTCTGGACAGGTGAACCTGCGTTCATGTAAGGCAAGGCAGTCACTGGGGTGGGCCACAATACCTAGGGCCCCAATCCACCATCAAAAAACGTCCCCCTGCAAGCTTCCTTCAGCACAAACAGGCAATGTGTTAGATGTTGTACTCCTGTCTTCTTAGGGCCTGAAACCATGATTGATCTCAGGAGTCCAATCCCCAGAAGGCCAAGCAGGCTGCTCCCCTGCTTTAGGTTAGCAGGTCATCTTCTGCCCCCCAGCCCCAGCACGCAGCTTCTGCAAGAGGGAATGTTTTCTTGGTAGATAGTCATCCCCCCTTCCACAGTAGCTCTGAGGCAGCCTAACAGTTATCCTTCTCTGCTTCATTTTCAGAATAGCAAGTCTTACATTTTTTCAGCTGTCTGAAACTTCATTTGTTTCAAAGCGAGACTGGGTTAGATCTTTAATTCCAGTACTTTTTTTTAAGTACTATAGTTGGGGAGACCCAAACTTATACTCGAAGGCCCCTCTTGAAACCCATTTATGCCTACCAACCCTGCATTAAAACTTTGTGTGTCAGTGGATGAAAGATGGGAGGAAACAGCTTTCAGATAGCTTAAATTGCCTCTCTGCAATCTGCTTCTTGGTGTCAGAAACGAGAAGAGCTTACTGTTCTGATTATAAGCAAGTCAGACTTTGGAAATGTATACAGGACGGAATGGGAGAGATGCCTGCATGAAAGTCTTTTTTCCTCAAGTTCCTGTATCTTTTCCCCCTGTGTGGGTGGTATTAATTTAATAAAGGAGCACGACTCTCCTTGACGCTTTGGGCCTGGAATGAGTGATGTTTAGGGCCCCTGGGTGCCAACTCAGAGCTGCAATTCTAGGTGGCCTTTAGATTGCTCAATGAAAGGGAACCGGGCAGATAAAGATGTTGCTTCCTAGCAATCCACTTGAAGCATTCTAGCACAGAGACAGTACCGATCTGTACGGTCATCCAGCATTCAGGTTTGAAGAAAGATTAAAAAGCATGACTTCCATCATAATCTTTCTGTACACATTTACTTCCCTATTTTTTTTTAAAAAAAACAAACCACTAGCATGTGAACTGGGAAGTTCTTATCTTCCCCAGTGGGGATTCAGCCGAGCTGCTTTTTCAAGCAGGGAGGTATGCCCGAGAGGGCTCTGCTTGTTAAAAGGCTGTCAAGCCCAGCACCATAAAACTGGTTGCCTGACGATGCCCAAGACACATGAATAGGTTCCAGGTGCTGCCCTGTCTGGGGGTCCTCGCAACTGGCTGATTTGATGGGTGCTTGAGAAGCGCCTCATTTAAGAACAAATGTCACCACTGGTACTGTTTCCTCCGCTCAAGAATTGTTGCTTTGCTCTCTTCTCGTAGTGAGCTTTGTTGCCAGGGCATTCTGACTGCCACACCCCAGCTTCTGAGGGACACGCTAGGACCCCAACTCTGTTCTGGGGACCTCCGGCCTTCCTCACTCCCATACAGAGTGACTGCTGTGCATCTGGAATGCCACTGCATACATCAGGTTCTCTGGGTACCTGCAGCGTGTTTTTCCAGCCCTCTTCCAGCCCTTCCCTGGGTTTTTTAGCACATCTGACTGAATGAGAACTAAGGCAGTTGTCGGGACTAAGCTGGCAGTGCATCGCTCCACTGGTTACGTCGGGCTCGTGTCCAGGGGGCTGGCTTGCTTTCCCAGCATGCTCTGCAAGATTGCCATGAGGTTTTCCAAGCCCCACAAGTAGCCATCTTCATGGTTGCCTTCCACCCAAGGCAGCCGGTGGGTCAGTGTCTGTTTCTCAGGCAGTGGCACTGTCTTGCCAAAGTCGATCATCCAGACCCGGGCAAGCCCTGTTTTGTCATGCACAAAAAGTAGGGAGCTGCCTACTACCTGGAAGTGGAGAGAAAGAGAAGGATTCAGCAAGGCCATGAAGGTACCAAGTTTCTGATTGGCAGGAAGATGCAAGAAAGCATGTATCACTCAGCAGAGTTGGAGGCTTTGTTCACGTAGCATCTAAGCAGGCTTTACTGAACTAGCCAACAATACTGAGCTGGAAGGATGCCGACCACACGTTAACCCTAGCACATTGTGCCGACTCAACCAGAAAAGCCTCCAATAATGGACCACCTCTGGAAGGTTCTCCAAAAACAAAGGCTGAAACCAACCTCATGCGCCTTGAAGAACTCGGACTGCTCAAGAGCTGCTCTCACCTCCTGCAGCTGGCCCAGGTAACTCATCTGTGGAGAGAGGACTGACCATTGGAAGGGAAGCAGCCACGAGCTGGGCTGGGGGTCCCTCCCTGCTGACCCACTGTACAATGAAGAGGCCCCTGATTGAGATTATCATTGGAGGCCCTCAGTTCACCCAGGAGCAACAAAAGCAACCTACAGCTGCATCGAATGCAGCTCCATTGCTGGGCCATCAAAGCCACCAACAGCAATGGCAGAGGGGTCTTGCACCAGACAGACTTGAGGGGCTGAAAAAATGACGGTGGTACATCAAGGGAACCATGGAAAGCCAAGGGTGGGTCCCCACCAGGGCTATCAGCCCCCTCCCCCATGGGGCAGAAGCTGGATCCTCACCAGAAGGTGTCTGTCCCTGTCCAAGAAGTCCCAGAAGGCCTCCACCACTTGCTCAGGTTGCCGGGTCTTCTTAAAGCTGGTGCTGCAGGTGCCACTGGCTCTCTGGGCAGGGAGTGGAAGAACCTGGTCAGCCCTTACCTAGATTGGGAAGCAGACTCCAGGAGCAAGCTTTACTGAGCAGGTTCCAGGAACAGAACCTCGCCAGTCTGCTTGGGTTTTTCCTCCCCTCCCCCTTATGCCCCAGGGAGTCAGGGAGGAGCCCGCCTGAGCCTCCTCCTAACTCTGCCTCCTTTCCCAGGGCACACGGTGTGCTTCTGCCCTTTCTGTTTCTGGAACCGCTTCCCCCAAGGCCATCTCCAAGGCCTCCACAAACATAGCATCAGATGGTGGGGGCAGGTAAGAGAGCCCCCAGGATCAGAGCAGAAGGCAGTTAAGCTCAGGGCAGGGTGGAAAGGGCCAGGCGCCTGCAGAGGGCCCCCTTGCCAACCACCGCTGGGCTTCCAGGCAGCAAAGGGGTGAGAGCGCCAGGCCGTGCCACTTTGCCTGGAGCAGAAGGCTGGTTGCCTTCCTAATGAGAATCCCCTCCTCTGCCCTTACCTTGATCCCCTCGATGCGAAAGCCGAGCGTGCTGGTCGAGCTGAGTGACTCCCTCCATTGCATGTAGCGAGGCTTCAGGACACCACGCTGGGCATGCTCCTCTGGCGTGGGAGCGCACGGGTCCACAGCCACCATCTTGTCATACATGTCACGGCGCAGGTGGGGCTGCTGCCTTGCCTTCTGCAGCTCCTCCTCCAGGTACGTTCTGTGCAGGGAAGGGAGAAGGGAAGCACCCTTTTAGGCATTCTTGGGGGAGGCCCTGGGAAAGAAGTGGGCTCCCCCAGCGCCGGGGATGCCTGCTCCCAAGGAGAGCTCCCCAGGGCAGGGAGCAGAGGAAGGCTCACCGGGCGCCCATTTTGCAGTCCAGGACGGAAGGGTTGTCAAAGCCAGACAGCAAATCCTCCATCTGGATGTAGCACTCCCCCTCATGCTGCACCATCCCATAGTATGCCGGGACATAGGGCTGCAACGCATCGCCTCCCAGGCGCTCCAGACACTGCTGCTCATTGGAGCAATATTTCTTCAGGACGTGCCCCAAATCCCCAGCCTTGAAGTTGCCTGTGGAGGACGACGGAGAAGGCTGCTGGAGGAAAGGCTGGGCAGGAGTCCCGCTGGGGCCTCGCCTGCCCACAGAGGACGCCCCGGCCTCCGTGCAAGAGCCCGCTCTTTACCTGCGTGGCCAGTGAGCTGAACCCAGGGGCAGCGCTTCCGGAAGGAGACGACACACGGTGACCAGTGCACCATGCTCTTCAGCTTCTTCCAGGGCTTGTTCTGCAGATCAAAGCAAAGGGGGGCGTGGGTGGGGAGGTTTGCGGGGGTTGATCCGAGGAGTGGGATTTTTTAAGAGAGACAGGAAGCATCTAGCTCACGCATCAGAGCTGGATGGAGACAGACCACTGGAGCAGACAGCGCCGCACAACTGACTGCACGTGTGAAGCAGGCTCCTTCCGAACAAACAGCTGGTCTGAAACAGAACGACAACGCTGGAGTGGAGCACCCAAATCTGTCTCCTGAAAGAAAAACTGCTCCGTCGTTCCCATTGGGAGATGAGGCACAAGGTGCTATGAGAGGCCAAGGATGATGGGAACCAGATGTGGACTGGAAGGGCTTCAGATCTCATTGGCTGATTAGCCAACTTACAGGGTTGTTGTAGAACAACGCGGGCGGGAAGGAGAGCCAACGTACTGTGTGTGCTTCCTTAAAATTCCTGAAGAAAAGGCAGTATATATGGGTGTGTAAATAACAACCCTTATTTTTTCTCTGGCAACGGGTTCCAATGAATGAATGACCATTATTCTGTCTTCAAATGTCTCCTCTGCTTTCTCTTTACATTGTTCATAACTTCAGAAACAGAATCAACACCCAAACACTGAAACTGCCCAGGAGCACTGAAAGGTTTCTCCTCCCTCCCAACTAGGAGGGCCTGGAGCAACATTGCCCGGCGTGGGGGGAGTGGTTTCCGGGGTTCTAGGCACAGCCCCTCCCGGCTCCATCGCTTGCTGAAGCGCCCCTCTTCCAGCCCCTCCCTCTGCTCTCCACCCCCAGAGCAGCCCCCAAGCAAAGCTGACCTGCCAAGCAATGCGTGTCCCTCCCAACTTCCAGAGAAGGTGGAGAATGTGCCAGGTTGGAATGGGGGCGTCAGGATGCTGAGCACCAGTGGGGGGGCAGGAATGTGACTTTTTCAAAGTAAATGACAAAGATCTCGCTTCTATTGTATCGCGTGAGGCAAATGCTCTACTCAGTTCTGTCTGCGGAATCATGGCAGGGATGGTGCCCAGGAAGGCCCAGCGCCAGCAGGACCCATCTCCTCGCCACTTCTTCCTTTGCACCCGGCTGATGAAATCCGCTCCCTAAGCGCACGACAGAGAGCAAAATCGGTTGGTGCGGCAGCCCCACGCTGCCGCCGATGCAGAGCTTCTGGTCCCCCTGGATTGGCTGCCTGCTCCCACGGAGACTGGGCAGGAACAGGCAGGGAGGGAGCTTCATGGGAACCGGCTCTGGCAGAAAGCCGAGCCTCCCACCTCCCAACAGGTTTGGCTGGTTCGCACAGGACAGGCTGCGGGCAGCAGCAGCAATGGTGGCGGCGGGTGGCCAGCTTTCCATCTATCTTTAGAAAACAGACACCCCCCCCCCCAGGGGAGACAAACCTGCTAGAAGGCACCTGCAGCAAGGCTGAAACCAGAGCTGAGCACCAGCCTGCCCCCCACCCCATTCCAGAGCCCCAGAAGAAGCAGAAGCCCATCAGCAGAGAGGGGGACACCTGATGTGCTGGCCCCCCCAGCTGAGTGATTGCCCACCGTCCCCATCAGAAGCCTGGACAGCTCCTACCAAAGAGGGCTTGCACCTGGAAAGGGTGGGGAAGCGACCACAGGGCTCCTTTCAAGGAAAGCCCCCTTCTCCTGCCCAGGACAGAGGGGAAACAGCCGAGGCTTGCCACCCTCTCCTTGCAGCTCCAAGGAAGACTTTTGGAAGGAGGGGGAGAGGAACCGGGCGGGGGGGGACACTCACCGGAAAGGAGCCCCTGACCAGTTTTCTCATGGCTTCTCCCAGGCCAGGAGAGCCTGCTCTCGAGCCAGAGGATGTGGGCACATAACCAGCCCAGGCGTGCACAGTGCTAGGGTTTTTGTGCGCTGCCTTCCCTCGCCACACCCCTTGACATGATGCTGACGGCATATGTCACCTCTCCCTTTTCCTGAAAGTGGGGGAAGGAGGGGCAGGGTGAGAAGACCAGCAAGTTGCCCAGCAACCTGGGGATCTGGCAAGTGATCTTCCATGACAGGCAAAAGCAGAAAGCAAGAGGGACATCGGCGTACAGGGACGACTTCTCTGCTCTGGAGCTCCCACTGGCCGGGCCCAGAGGCTCTGCTTGGGATGAGTCAGAGGGGAGGCACCTCGCCAGACTTACAGTGAAACATTCGAGGAATAAGGTAGGCACACCTATAGGCCCCACCCGAGTGACCCGATGTTGTCCCTCAAACAGGATGGCCAGACTGGAACTTGCAACCTGTCCACAAGGGCTGGAGTGAGTGAGAATCACAGGTTCTGGGCACATTTGCAAGGTTCAGTTTCCAAGCATGGGGGGGAAAGATGCAGGTTCTAGAACTCAGCTGAAGAACACGGCCTCCACGCAGGGCATGCTGGACAAGCTTAAAGGGCCATTTGTACCACACATTTCAAAGCCAAAGGTTGGTATTTCAAAGCTGTTGCCCTGGAGCCTGCTAGGAATCTCTGCCCTTGGGAAGAAAGCAGGGACAGAACAGTCACGCTTGGCCCTGTAACCCCTCTACAGCCAGACCTGAGCAAGCCACAGGAAGATCTCCAGAGTAAGACAAACCAGATTAGCAACTCAGCCCACCAGGACATGCCGGCCAGTGTCTCAGGATGAGAAGTTCCGTCCATCCAGAACCACCCTGGTGTGCAACCAGAGGCTGTGCCACCGACCAGTGACACAGAAGGGCCCCTTGGGCCAGCCCCGCTCAGCGCTTCTGTGTAGCAAGCAACATCCCTCGCCGCTCCTGATTTTGCTGGACAGAACTCCTCCAGAGGCCCTCAGGAACCGAACCTCATTTTCCTCAACCAGACTGAATTTTGCAAAAATAGCATGCAGCTTTGGACTTCACCCTGACCAGAGAGGTGTGAGGGCTTGCAGACTCCATTGAACCAACCATACGACAGAGTGGCACTTCTCAGGCTGGGGGAAGAGGCTACGGAAGAGGCTTGTTTCCTCAGGGAGTGTTCAGTCAGCATCCAAACTCTTGCAAAAGAGTCGCACATGGGGAAATGACGGCCTTCCCACAGCAAGTCTACGCCAGCCTTCAAAGCAGCTTCTGTCTGTCTCACTCCTGCCTCTTGGCCTCTGAAATCTCATGGTCATTCACAGGACGATGCAAATCTCTGCCACCAACTAACGCCATTTCCACATTCTGCACACCTGCCCCAGCCTGTCTGCGTCCAAAGATCTTCTGGAGAGGCTTCCCCCAAATACACTCTTTGGCTGAGGGTTCCTGACAACCGGGAGGCCTTGTTCTGCCAAAGAGGCTCACCTGGTGCCAAACCCTCAGGCAATCTTTCTCTGAGGCCAAAATAAGGCCTCCCCAAATGTCCAGGCACTTTAAAGGAAGTTCTACTTCTATGCTTTTGCCATTTTTAATGGGAATAATTGATTTACTCTGTTACATTTGTATTACAGTAAATTTACTTGGGTAAACACTTTTTTGAACTCTGCCCCAGAAACTTTTCTACGAAGGGAGATTCAGAAGTACCTTGAATAAAGAAACATCTTGGTTTCAGAAGTCAGCCCTGTGCTGCCCTTGTTCAGCCTTCGGGATCTTTCTGAGGGGTTCCATCCAGGAGCCGAGAGGGGCCAATTAACCACTGTACTATTACGGGCCTAAACGACAGTTTCAGGAACACACAAAGCATTAAGCCCTTTTTATATTTCAACAGGCGACATGAAGGAGCCTCCAGCCCACAGGATGCCGCACCCCCTTCTGTTTCCCACCCTCCGGGAGAGTCTGAATGGGCACACACCAAAGAGGCAGTAGCAGTGGAGCCTTGGGCACGTCTGCCCTCCAGCTGGGCGTGAGTCAGCCGGGCACAGCTCCCGGTTCCAGGCAGCGCTGAGCCCAACAGTCCTGGCCAGAAGCCCGTGAATCAGCCCCAGGCTGATTCATTCTGCCGGAAATGAAGCAATTACACCTGGAGCGAATGAAATGGAAGTGGCTCGTCAGAAGAGGCCAAAGCTTCCGGAGGCCGTTGCATCACAGGTACACACAGAGGGCACTCTGTGTGTTCTCAGAGGAATGTCACGAAAACCGAAAAATCAGGCAGAGGGTGAAGGCAGCACAAGCCCAGAGAACTTCCTTCTGAAGCACCAAATATTCCAGAGAACAGAAATGAAAGAAAGCAGCAATTCATTTCTGAGAGCAGAGATTGGTGATCACAGCAGCTTTTCTCTGAGTCAAAACAATTCCAACAGGATATTCATTTGAAATACAACTTTTACCAGACTTTGCCCCTTCTCGTGCTTTGCCTTCTCCTCTCGAGATCAATGAAGTGCCACGGGTGTGCGCACATACACCCATACACATGCTCATTCTCTGAAAAACCACGTGCTGGAAAGAGAAGCCCTGCACCGTGCTTGGGACAGGAGTGCCAGAGGGCTGAGACTACGAGCTCTCCCCACCTGGCTGGGAATCCTGGAACTCCCCAGGGCCAACCCACCACCTGAGGAAAAAGCAAGTTTCCCTGTCATACGCCAACTAGTCAGCCAAGAATGCACAAAGCCTTTCCTGAGAGGATCGGAGGGGGCAGGAAGGGACAGGCCCACTTTATTCACCCAGTGTGGTTGTCACCTCAAGAGGAAGATAGAGGCAAGCGCATTTCCCTCTCCTGCCAACAGCTCATGAAAGCCGTTTTTCAAAAGTAGCTAAACTGATGAGAAATTGCAAAAGATCTAGGATTCAGAACAAGAAGTCATTGTTGATTAAGTCATTCGGCTCTTGGGCTGCTGGGAACACTTCGCGTATCCTTCACTGAGTCAGTGGGGCCAACTATTGCTCTCAAGGGTAGGAGTACACGGGGGAGGGGTGGTGCATAAGAGAGGCTGTGAAACAAGGAAAAAACTAAGCTTGACTTGTGGCTTGTGACCAGCAGATCTGAGGCTTCTGTTTCATGCCACCTCCTGTGCAGTGCTTAGATTTGGTTCAATCCTTGATCCCTCCAGGCTGGAGTCGCCCAGTGTCCATCAAGATGCAGCCTGCAGCTGGGGAAATCTCCTTCTTGTCTGTCCAGCAGGAGCCTCAGGTTCATGGCTTCGCTTGCTGGGGACTGACCACTAAGTTAGCCCTACTTGATCTTGAAAAACGAAGCAAGATCAGGCCACCAAGACACCCACAGGCTTGGGGATGGGGAAGGAGCGCCCCAGGGAGAACAGAGGCGAGTCTGTTCTGCGCTGCAGCAGCCACCAAGGAAGCTCCGTGGAGATGCCCAGGTGATCCAGAATCCAGTGAGGCTCTTGCTGTAAAATCAAGCCCAGGAGGTTGCTGTCACCAGCAGAATCATGGCCTACTTTGTTGCTGTTGTTGTGGCCACAAAGGTATTCTGCCTCCCCTCCCCTGCAAAAAATCTGTCCACGAGTTAAAAAAAACTTCTCTGGAATCTCCAGGCCTTTTCCCCCGTTTGCCTTTGGCTGTCTTTTCTGAAAGAATAAAGTCCCTAAAGGCACATGCATTTTTCCATGTTTAACTCTTGCAGTTAAAGTGCTTTTACCGTGATGATGTCTCCTTAGGAATCCTTCTGATTCTCAATCAGGCGGGGAGGGATTTATGCTAAGCCAGCTGGGGGGGTTCTGGAAAGCTCCTCCGCCTTGGTGTCAAAGCCGGATGGGGCACAACAGGCTTCAGCTCAACCCAAGCAAGACTGAGTGGCTTTGGGGTTTTGGACCCCTGGTTCCGGGGACCTTCCCTCCTTAGTCAGGATAGCACTGTCTCAGAGAGAACTGGTGAGCGCTCTGAGGGTCCTCCTGAAGTCATGACTCATGTTGTGCGTCAGTTGCGCCTGTTCCTGGACCGGGGT